CCCTGATGATGAATTATTTGACCCAGATGATGACGCAACTGAATAATTTTCCATTAAACTGTCATTCGATTTGTTTCAATTAACAGTCTCCGTCATCATCCTATTCTTGGGGTGTATGCAGTTGATACACCGGAAAGAACATTATTCACTCATTCCCATCATCATTCACTCATTCCCATCAGCTCCCTACTTCTTCACTCCGTCATTCTTCTAATTGCTTGTACCTACATATATCAAGAGAAGGCAAGAGAGAGTAAATTATAATGGAATAAAGGAAACGAAGAAAAAATTCAACGAATAAAAGAACAAATAAATAAAAGACTAAAAATAGAAAGATGGAAATTGGAGGAGAAGGAAAACCTTTAGTGAGCGTATGTACGTGTGCGTATATATGATATTTACATTGACGGCAAATCACCCAGCGGCATCATAATGCAATGTGAATGAATAAACGAATAAATCATTGCTACTGCATTATATCTTCCGATTTTTTATTTCATTGTTATTGTTTTTATTATTCGTTGTTATTATTGTTATTATTATTGTTGTTGTTACTATTAATTCAGCTGTGTTTTGTGTGAAATCTATTTTTATTTTGATTCTGATGTATTTTTAGTTTGTTTTTGTTTAGTTTTTGTGGTTTTTTTATTTTGCTTTTGTATCTTTTGTATCTTTTTGTGGTATTTTTGTTGTGTTTAAGTTTTCGTTTCCGGTGTACATTCTGATTGATTCGGGTTGCATTTTGTTTTGTTTTTCTGATGTATTTTTTTATGTTCCTGTTGTTATTTTTATATCTAGGGCGTCTTCAATTTTTATTTTCAGAATAATAATTTCTTTCATCGTTTCCTCCTCCTTTTTATAGAGTTCTTTATTGTTTTGTTATTGTTATTGGCGTTTAAATGTGCCATTGAATGATTCGTTAGGAGGGAATTATTTGTTTACCAAGATGAGATTTGAATGCCTTGAAAAGATTTAAACAGCTAACTGCTATCATTATTTGCCAGTAAACATTTTCAAATTAACTTTTAAGTATCAATTATCATCTTGATCTAGAATACGTATGCAAATAAAAACAAGAAATTATTAAACCGAAACACTTGTTAGAGAAGTTGAAATATTATTTTCATTTCCATATATTAAATATATTCCACTAAATTAGTTTTATCTTGAAATGAAATATTATTTATTGAATTGTAGCTCCAATACTGCGCAAACATTTGGTATTCAATATTATTACGTCAAACATTCAAACAAATACATTTATAATGGGGCACAACACTTCACAACAGTAATGAATGAATGTTTGTGTTTTATATGTTTTCAGGTTAAGAACAAATTTGTGAAACTTCATCCTATTTTAATCCTTAACATACAACTTTATCTAATTTTAATCCCAGCAACACAACTTCATCCAATTTTAATCCCAAACACACAACTCCATCCAATTTTTATCCCAAACCCACACATACAAGTTACTTCTCAGAGGAAAAACACTCCAGCATTTAATGAAGTACAAGAAAGCGTTTTTCAATAAAGGTATATTGACGCATTATATTTTGGTTTGGTCGTTTATTTTTTGTTATAAATGATTTATGAATCTTTATAAAATATTTAATTATGTATATCTATCTCGAGAAGACCAGAAGCGTTGTCAGGGATGGATCTCTGGGACTGAAGTTCCTCCCACTGTAGACTTTTTTGTTCGGGTTATAGTTAAATTGAACAAAATCTCTTCTCTAACTTATGAATTTTGTTTACAAATTGTTACAAACTCTTAAATAACTAAAAACAGCAATGTTCTGCCAAATTGGAAAAAACTTATATAATTCAACTATATACCTTTATTGAAAAACGCTTTCTAGTACTTCACTAAGGGCTGAAGTGTTCTAGTTTTAATTTTTGCAATTAAAAAAATCAAGAATTTAAAAAAAAACTATTTTCGATATGGAAACCATGGAAAAACTTTAGAACAAGCAATATAGATCGCAACTTTTTTTTGAATAATTACATTCTCCACAAAAAACATAGATAGATGTAGCATGTATGATCATTTTTAGCTCAAAAAATTTATATGGAAACAAAAAATTGCAAGTAACACATGCACGCACACTCATACATTTATTTATTTGTATATATATATATATATATATATATATATATTATTTATATTTATTTATAGATTTGTTTATTTATAAACATAGATTTTGTCTGTGCAAACATTTGGGGTTTTTATGAGCAAGCAAGGATATGTGGTTCATGTGAATGTGTACAGTTGTTCATGTGAATGTGTACACTGGAATGCACGCAGTGGCCTCTTCTGCGATGCGTCAAAGCAAATGCGCAGGAACTGAACGACTGCTAAAATGGGATCGATTCCATAAAAGTCATGCGCGATTACGCCCGCAACCAGCACATACACGCACGTACACAAGCATACACGCATGCATACGTGCACATACACGCACAGGTACACCCAAAAATTACGAACATATTTATGAGAACTATACCAGTATCTTTATGCACACATACACGAACATGTTAATCACACGTACACACGCACACTATAACTTTATATATATATATACCTTATATGTTTACATTCATTTATCTATTTCTATATATCTATATTAAAATATATATATATATATAATTATTTATGTTATTATTTTAATTATGATTTTATTTTGTTACTATCAATACCTAACATTTTTTACGAGCAAACATCTTGATTTCACTGGTTTATATAATCTTTATGTTTCTTTGATATCAAAAATGATGAACATACAAATATGAAAAGAAAATACTCTCCCACCTGTTCCCTCTCTATCAAAATTAATGATCGAAATGTACCTCAGCGGCTACATTAGCAGTAGCAGCAACGACAGCAGCTTCCAAAACAACTCCAGCAACGACAACAAAAGCTACAACAACAACATACATTCATAAATACATACATACATACATACATACATACATACATACATACATACATACATACATACATACATACATACATACATACATACATACATACATACATACATACATACATACATACATACATACATACATACATACATACATACATACATACATACATACATACATACATATATACATACATACATACATACATACATACATACATACATAAATACATACATTGTGTTCCCCAGGGATCTGTGTTGGGACCTCTGTTGTTTCTTATGTACACTGCTGATGTTTTTGATATCATTCAAAAATATGAGTTCAGCTCCCACGCCTTTGCTGATGATATTCAGTTATTGGTTTCTTGTCCTGTTGATTCGATTGATGCTTCTCTGAATGAACTGACTGATTGTCTCATCGAAATTGGATCTTGGATGAGTATGAATCAGTTAAAGTTAAATCAATCTAAAACACAAATATTACCGGTTGGTTCTTGGCAGCAGCTATCGAAAGTCAAAATTTCATCGATCAGCAGCTATTGAAGGTCAAAATTTCATCGATCAGTGTCGGCAATGACATCATTGAATTTTCCACATCTGTCCGTAGTCTTGGAGTTATTATTGACTCAAACCTAAAGATGGATTTGCGTATTAATAATTTAGTGAGGGTCTGCTCCAACCAACTCCGTTTATTACGCAATGTCAAAAAATCACTAAACACGTCTGTTCTTCAAAGCTTGGTTTCCTCTTTCGTCTTTTCCAGACTGGACTACTGCAATGGCCTTTTTTATCGTGTCACCAAAAGGTCTTTTTCAAAGCTTCAGTCTATACAGAATCGTGCGGCCAAGCTGGTTTTGGGTGGTTCGTGGTTCGATCATGTTACGCCTATTTTGAATAGGTTGCACTGGTTGAGGGTTAAAAAACGTGTTTCCTTCAAGTTGGCAGTTTTGATGTTTAAATGTGTCAATAATACAGCACCTCCCTATCTCATCGATAGATTGGAATCATACAAATCTCATTTTTCAAAATATTCCTTCCGATCAACCGAGCGCAATTTATTTTTTATCCCAACCACAAAGTTGGTGACGGGTTCCCGCAACTTTGCGGTTCTTGGCCCGATTGTTTGGAATGGTTTACCTCCATACTTACGTGACCCTAACCTTTCATATTTACAATTTCGAAGTCAACTTAAAACTTATTTATTTTGAGATTCAACAATAAAAAAGAGCTGTATATAAATTTCCGTAATAATAATAATACATACATTCATACATATATATATACATACATACATACATACATACATACATACATACATACATACACACACACACATACATACATACATACAAACAGAAGCTACAAACTGTAGAACACAAACTACATAATTTACAAAAATACCTAGACATCAACATTCATTAACGACTAGTTTTTTTATCAAGGATTCTTAGAATTGTATAAAAATTAATATAAATAAAAAAAGATAGGATTTTTAAAATTTTTTTTTCTCAAAAAATCATCTGCTATCAACGAGTAAATTTTTCAATATAACATATGACCATTAAGTATTGGCGACAAATTTGAAACACTTCATCATTTGAAAATATTTTTTTGAAATTTTAATGATTTTTAAGTAATTTAATTTATAAAATTAACGTATTTACGCTCTAATAACTTAGTATTTTATTTAATGTATCACATAAATCACATAATTAATAATTACTTTATTTTTATAGTACACAAAATGCTTTTTAATCATTATTGTCTTAATTAATGTTTTAATTATATAATAATTATTATAGTGCAATGTTTGATTCAGTAGTGGCATTATTCTAAGAATGACTCTGTCAGTTAAATATTACTGTTTCTCACAGATGTAGATGAACGATGTTCGAGGTGTTTTTGACAATGTTGTTCTACTTCATCACTTGTTCTGATAGATGCTTTAATTATTAATGCAATGTCGTAATTTAACAAGGCAATAACATTGGCAAAACTACTAACAATAAAAATATCAGTAAAAAATAAGAATAATAATAATAATAAGTGTAGCTATCAAACGTTAGTGATAATATGATATTTCAAATACTGGAAACCGTGAGTAGCAGGCAAAGAAGGATCAGATGTAAGTCATTAAAAGCATTTACCGCGATGAAACCTTGAGTGTATCCTCATCAGCATCAGTCTTATTTTCATCCTCATCTTCATCCTCATCTTCATCTTCAACGTCATCAATGTCATCTTCACCTTTTATATCATCATCATCTGCGTCATAATCATCATCGTCGTCATCGTCATCATCGTAATTGGTATCACATTCATCTTACATTGTTTTTACACCGAGTTGAACACACTAACCTATCCAAGCAAGGCAACGAAATGTGCAATGTAGTTATTAAATAAATTATAAAATTCTTCATCATATAAATTTAAATAGTTATTTTTTTTATAGAATTTAAAATATAATATAAATAAAATAAAAACAATTATTTTAACCCTTTAGACCAAGTTCCATCCCACCATTACCAACCATTAACCCAAAATTCGGCACAAAATACGACGACACTACGTAAATCCACAACAGAACTTTCAGCTACAAATTATATTGTCGGCAAGAAAATTCACTGTAAGAACACTAATAAACTTAACAAGGTTGATGACATTAAGTAAGAACTTGATGACATCAATAAATAATCTCGACATCAATACAACATATTAAAATCATAAATGGGATACTAACAACAACAGCCAAATTGTTCTGATTGTCAGTTTGAAAGAAATTGTATTGTATAATTTATCGAAGAACTAACACTAGGGATATCTGATTAAGACATTTTCTGACGTCATCATAGTTTGTTTTAACAGCAAAAACGTCATAATTTCTAACATTTGTGGCTTGGAAAACACGTCAAGCATCGTCGACACTATAGCCAACAAATATTTTCCGATGGAGAGACTGTTGGTTCAATAGTTCTTTCATATTTTATTGATGACGTAATAGTGATTATCGTCACTGTTGACGTCATCATCTTTCTCATCCTCTTGAAATTAGTTATCGGCATCATTGACGCTGTCAAGTTTGACGTCATCGTCGTCGTCGTCACCATCTTTTTCACAGTTCGAATGTTGAAGATGGAAAGCAAAGGAATTCTTAGAAAGACGCCAAATAAGTAGGTTCATTTGTGGAAATGAAGTCCTCAATTTTTAAACAATATTCATTTGCCAAACATCAAACCGTCAACCATCAAATTATCAATTACTCTATTATAATTCACCCATTAATAATTCACCAAATTATCAATGATCAATCACTCGATTGTCAAACACTCAATCATCGATCAACCCACAAACGCAACAACATTATTTCAACCAAACAGCCCAACCAACTAACCAACTAGCTAATCAACCAACCAATCATAACAAAAACCAAAAAATTCAATCAATCAACCAATTACGTTAATTCTAAACAACCCAATAAACTCAACTATTCAACTACTTATAATCCATCTCTACTATCTAATAACTCGACTATTCATTCAACTACTTACAACCATCTATTATCCGCAGTGTATCAGGTCGTGGACAGCAACGCCACCACACGAGCGACTGGGCGGGAGGAGGCGGAAATGGAGGAGGAGGCGGAAGTGGAGGAGGAGCGAGAAGTGGAGTAGGAAGAGAGAGAGGAAGTTCAAATATGGACCAGACAGATAAGGAGCTCTACGAGGAGGAGATGCAATGCGAGGAACATGAGAACACGTACGTGATGGATGGATGGATGGAAGGATGGATGGATGGAAGGGCGTGGGGTAGGTGAATGAAGGACGGATGGATGAATGTATGGATGAATGAATGGATGGATGAATGGATAGGTGAATGAATGAATGGCCGAATGTCTATGCTCGTTGTTTTTGATAG